AAACTTACCCAACTCCCGATGTGTTATGCCTCATGCCTGGGGATTGCCTTGGCAGAAACCCCTGGCAGGATCTAACTTTGATTGAAATATCCTATTGGTAGTCCATCCTATGCCTCTTGAACAAGGCATAGGATGGGCTACTCGTGGGATACTTCAATTTGGGACAACTGGTATATGTGTTGGGACAACTGTGCTGGACAAAGACCTGAAGACAGTTGTCCCAAAATTACAACATCTGACCAAAAGCACAGATGAAATACACAGCCACGCCCACCACATCTCATAGATTTTGAGCTTACTTCCACAAATTACACAGAGCCCATCCTAAACTTCATTTCAATAAAACTACTTATGCCATTCACGGTGGCAGCCTTTTTGACATTTCAGACTTCTCCTTTTTCATTCATATCCCCGGTACGATTCAAAAGTTGCGCAAAAATGCAATTTGATAATTCCACTGCCTTTCTATTTAGAAGCTGGAACAGCTTTTAATTGAACTATTTTCTTGCGGTCAAACGCTTGCCCCATTCCTGCTGCGTAAAGCTGCGTTTTAGTTTGCGGCAGCGTGCACTAGCGTCCACCAGCAACCATCAGCGTTTCCAGCGTTCGACCTCGTCACCGACTGAGAAACTATAGATATCGATCTAGCTAACGGCAGCGTCTAAGAGCGTCTGCCGTTCACCGGCGGGTGTGCGCATTTAGTTTGAGAACATATAATTATAATTACTTTTTCGCACCTCCGCGTTGCCAGTGGGATAGCCCCGCTTAATTGGTTATGACGTACGATTCGGACTCTTTTATCTGATTGTGTGTTGCAGTTTCAAGCACGTATGAAACGCTTTATTGACACAATGTATCGCTGGATCAGTCAAGAGCGTTTACTGGTCAGATTTCTTCTTGCTATTATGGGCCCGGCACTACTTTCCTCTCCTTCTCATATCTCTATTAACCGTGTCGTACCACCAGTTGATCCGTTCAACGTCATTCTGTGTCATAGGGGGAAATACGGCTCTTACGGCTGTCTTAACAGCATTCGGTACAGTTTTCGTGAAGAAGTCACCTAAATGAGAATTCAGTGGCGACTTTTGACTATACTTGGAAGATAAGCACATTTTAATAATATCACATCATTAGACAGTGGCTGTGGTGTAGATGGGGAGAATATGGAACTCCACGAATATCAACCTAAGGACCTACCATTGAATCAAAAATCGCAAAAAAAAGACATGTCAGTCGGGGAGCTAATGTGCGATGAACGAAGGTGTGCGTTTTCTGCTTACACTGCAGTAACGTATGACCCTGGTCGAAGTCCCACTTCGTCACAGTACTACCGTAATATTGGGGAAAACTAGATGATGAGGCGCACTTCGGCACAGGTGGAAGGGTTCACTTTGTACGGTAGCTGCTTTCCATTGTCCTGCTGAGCCATTATATAGAGATTTGTGAAATCTGGTATGCCATTAATTGATACCAGTCAACGTTTGTAGAAACTATTTGTCAACCCTTGTAAGGAATACCTGTCAACTCTCATAAAGCAGTAATCACGACAATGGGAAGAGGCAAGAGTGCAAAATGGCCCTCTCCCTCCACCTACTCGTCGCCAATAGCGCTGATGATTGCTGGAGCAAGATTAAAGAAGTATAGATCAATGTGAGTGTTCTTTTTGAGAAATCGTAAAAAGGAACTTGACCGACAGAACTTGCCATAACAAGAAAACAAACCGACCTATTGCATGACCTACTTCGCTCCAGAATGCTGCGGTTGGGACTGCCGTAGACAGAAGTAGTAGCAGTAGTATGAAGTTCATTTCGCACCTCAAGAACCTGAAAGTATCACTCATCACTTATGGGAGTTGACAAAAGTGGTTGGTATAACTGGATCTAACACAGCCAACGCGTTACTCGTGACAATTTTTTAGTTTCAATAAAGCGAAGCTCTCAATCTCGTCACAAGTTTCTTCTTCTTTCTTTAGCAGAGTAAGTGTGCACAAAAAAATTCCAGAAGAAAAAACTGTGATTCAGAACTGGTATTGCTGGGACCTGAGTTATCGGTTTTGAGAGAAGCAGGTTGGAAGGTGTCGTTCGATTGGGATGTGATTGAACTGGATTACGTAGCATACGCTATATAATACGATGTCTGATAAGCTGGACCATTCTACTTTTATAAAGGGTGGCGAAGGATCACGTGCACCATACAAAAGCTCCAATTTTATTTTGCGTCCTTCAGCATTTCAATAAAACCTATTTTCATGAAAAATTATGCTAAATCATTCTGTAATAGCAAAAGAGACGCTTGCACGGGTGCATACATGATTCATGAAGATACAAGTCTATGATTCTCCTTCGAGGTTTATTTTCTGCTGCATATATGTACGCTGTGGTACATAGCGATTGTACAGTTCAGCTTCGAGGGGTGGGGGCACTCTCGCTGCTTTCTCTGACTGACTCATTAAAAACTGACGGGTCCGATTTTGGAGAAACTTGCTGACTCTTCTGCGAAATCCTGCGAAATGCAATGAGTGAGTTACTTTGATTACAGGAATTCAAAAGTCTCAACCAGTTGGCTTGTACAAGTGTCGCTGAAAACCATTTGGTGTCCAAACCGAGACGAACTGTGCAATTGACCTTACTTTCTCTGTGACTACTAAGAAATCGTCGACAATGAGGTAGGAGCACTCAGACGAACATTCATTATGTTTGTCAACCCCTGAGGCTCGCCAAAGAGTTGGGGTTGACAAGAGTAAAGGGAAGTAAACCCGTAAACCATAGACTACACAAAAACCATGACCCATAAACCCATAGACCCATGAGAACACTGACTTGTATGAGCTGTCCTCCGCAAGTCATCGTGTATGCCACATCGCATGCAAAACCAGTACAGTTCTGAATCGAAGTAAAATGCATGTCGCATGCTAAAGAGGGATTAACAGCGGAAACCTTAAATCATATCCTTTATCACCTTTACCTTTATTGTGTATTGTTGTTCACATTATCGACACACCTTCTCGGTGTAAGGGCAAGTACATTAGATCTAGAAATTATAGAAACCTTTACCGCTAACCTAATACTAATACCAGCCATAGGTTGTATAACTGCGCTACGTTTTTGTCTGTACTATGCACCGATGATAGGTGATAGCCACATTCCAGCACATATCTGTGTGGCTTGCGGTATATGCCGCCGTTTTCCCTGTTTGTTTTCATTCATGGGTGCTGTACTAAGAGATGAGAGAATTCCTAGGAGTACTCATTGTCGAAAGAACAAAGAAGTTGTAGGAAATATAGAAATATCCAGAGTAGTGGAAGGAATTTTTGCATGTTGACCGTGGGTGTTCCAAATATTATCCGACGAGGAAAAAATAACGTCGCTCCTGATGTTAAAGGCAGTTCGCGACAGTTCGTGATACGTGGGTAATGATGTTGAAATATGGAAGACAAGTTGCCGAGTGACTCGCCGTGGAAAAAAATGTCATAGGGATCGCTGGAAACGCCTTCAATTGGACCTATTAATGCTCACAGTTGCACGAGTAGAAGGTCGAAAAGCTGCATCTTGGAAGCACTTGGCTGCTTCCTTGTAATGAAGCTCATGACTCCACAAGAGGCAACAGAGCATCGATTCTGTGCTAGCTACTCAGTATCGTAGCATTTGGCTGAAAGACGACTTTGAAGGAGAACCTGGAGGCGGAGTCTCTGGAAAAAGGGAGGTGTCCCTAGAGCAACTTTGCGCCTTAACTCCTTTGCCCTTCAACTTCCCCGCAAAACTGGCACAAAGTTGTCCACTGTGGATCACAGTACCCCTCCCACAGAAACGTTCCATCTTCATACGACATCGCGGTTCGCTCCTTTGAGATCGGGGCAACCAACCGCGAAACAGTTCTAGCTTTTCGTGATCCTTGTATAAGGACTTAGGTATACTAATAATCTTTGACATCACAATAATCCAAACTAAACTGCTACCTGCATATTGCAAACGAATTCTTATTGCCCGCAAGGTTTGCAATGACGCAGTGCTGTGGGAGCACAGAAGCAACTTCTGACTTATCGATTTGGCTAGAACTTTGTCCCCGTGGTAGTTAGCCTCCTTAGACGGGTATTTCAAATCCGCTTGGCGCGGAATAGCCTGACCTCCATTGTAAGCCGCGCCGTTAGACAGGAGATGCTCGAGGAGTCGATCGCTTGCCGAGGCTGAGACTGCAGCTTGGATCTCTCTCCATCTCTGAGGCGACGCCTCGTCCTACCGGGAACACCTGCATCACCTGCTCATGATCTCACTTACCTTTTGTTGTATCTCATTGCTTGTTATTCCGTTATTCGTTGCATTGTTAATACTTATGCGACGGTTATTCGTATCGTGTGCCTATTGGTTACTTGCCTTACCATGTACCTTTCATGTCATAAGGATAAAACCTTAGTAAATGACCGCTGTTAGGACAGAAGCAGGTGAGCCACTTCCACCGCGCCCGCTCGCTTACTGGTAGCAGCGAGTGGTTCACCCCTCGCTAACGGTGGGTCGTGGAAAGTAGGGCAGGTGAGTTGACCACGAACCCAACCTTGAAGTCCAGATGCGATGTGGCCACTCGTGTTTGGAGGCTTGCTGGCTGGGACGCATGGACAAACTTCGCCTCGTGGTCTTCTCCGAACAAAGGCTACCGTAACCGATCATTTTTTTTCTAGCTTCTTCATTCGAATGCCTTCTCCGTTAAAGTTCATGATCGCTCGTTTCGAATTCCCAATTCGAAAAGTCCCTTGTTTTCGTAGAAAGTTCATAGGCCCTTCCTTTTTTTGTTCAAAAGTTCATGGAAAATGCACTCTGATGACAAACCAGGGTACGGTACTCTTTGCTTTAGGTTTTCAAATCCGACGGCACCCTGACGACGGTCTAAACCGTTGATGAGGATGCCGACGTCGAGGTTCGTGAAGAGAAGGTAGAAGTAGAGATCGTCCCGTGTTCAAATGTTAAGAAGTCGAGATTTGGTGCACCTGAGTTGATGTGAAGAGTTATATGGATGCCGCCGTGGAGTATTTCGAGTGGTATTGGGACATTAAACACTGGATTTGGGCGGCGAGAAGTGGTCAACCGGTAAAATTCGTTATTTAACAAGAGTATTGTTAAGTCACTCGCGAGCCTGCTCTCTTTTTAGATAAACCCCCGGGGCAATAAGATAAAAAAAACAGCGTATACTCCCTTTTTCAATTACTTAGTGTGTTGTTTAGTTATAATCGTATCCGATTGATGTTTTTTTGCTTGCGCTTCAGCCCGATGGGCCGGTTACCGAGAACAGTTTCTATAGAAGTCATACAGGTTTTTATTCTAGGTTGCCATTGGTGCTGATCAATTGCCCACTCCAATCCACTTGGCTCCACATTTGGCACATGCCACGTTGCAAGTGGTCTGCTTTACACACTTGATATCAAAGGAAGACTTGCGCCCGCATCTGGCGCGCTTCATGGACAAGGCTAGTCAAAACTTATACACCCACTTATGGACACCAGACACCACGTTCGAATCATATGCCGGCTTTGAGCCTTATGTCTTGCAGTCATCATCGGCTCACAAGGTCCCATATAGCTTGGGTTTTTCTTCCATTTTTTCCCCTACCCTATCTCTTCGGTACAGATTTACAATATTTCTCCCTTCTCATTCATTTCGCCTTGTTCCTTTTTCAAAATTCCGTTTCCCATAAGTTCTGCTCGCCAAGTCATTTCTTGTTTGTTTCTCTTCCATTATCGCATTCCTTCGTGTAGCCTTATCTGCAGCGCTTTCCCAGCAGTCGTTTCCCATCAGCTTCTTCGTCTTCTAATGTTTTCTTTCCCATAACAACATCCGAGATGCAGCTCAAGATAGCGATAAGCCGGGAATGCCATCCTGATTCTCTCATTTCCCTCCTCAAATAACTCGCTCATCGGTACATTCCATCTCAATATCATTTGATTTCAGCTCTTTGCCCTTGGGAGTTCAAAACTCTGGCGGATTACGGTACCTCACCCCTCATTGGGAAGCCGCCCACAGCCGAGAGCCCAAGACGGTCATTCGCAACTGTTGTACTGTTTCTGGTCTCTTCGTCTTGTCTACTGCGCTCCGTCATGGGTCCACCTGTGACGCGGTCGCGCACTCATTCGGCTGATACTCGGGCGGTTGCCCTCTCATCGGGAATAGATTCTGAAGTATCCGCTTCGGACAACCTTGCGAACGTCTTGGCAGATCTGGGAGACCGTGCTACTGTCGCAGTGGTGTTAGCCACCGCTGAGGTGGGCAGGGATACCGTGGCCGAGACTACCCGGCTGGCGCATAAATGAAGGTGATACCAATCTCCTCTCTGACTTAAATTCTTCGTTTGCCGCTGTTGGTGCTCGCATCAACTCTCTTCCGGTCGTGGCCACGCTAAGCCGGACGGGCCGTTACCGAGAATAGTTTCTTTTACGGGATCTGGAGAAGATCCGATGCAAATCTCGCTGTGGCTCCGCCGCCTTGAGGACGTCATGCGGAATGCGCTCCACTTCCTGGACTTTGCAGCAAAAGGACTCTTTTCTTACAGGTCGCTTGGATGGCGTGGCACGAGACAAGGTAGAGGAGCTTTCAGAGCAGGAGCGCGACGACCACCATGCCGTCGTGGCTCACCTCAAGAACTGTTTTGACGGACCTCGCACCGCTAAAAGTCTAGCTACGTGCCAGCAGACGCCAGGTGCGTCTTTTGCAACGTTCGCTAACCGGTTGCTCCTTTTAGTTCGAGCAGCCACCGCTGGTCAAGACTCGTCTAGCCAGAAGGAACGCGTCTTGGAAGAGTTCGTAGCTCGACTTCGACCGGACATCCGGTATTACGTAAAGTTGGACAACCCAGCCACCTTTCGAGCAGGCTGTCACCAGGGCGCAAATGGTTGAACAGCTCCTGGCTGAAGCGACAGCCGATCGCCTCATTCGCCCGTCGCAGATGCTCCAGCCGGTCGAGGTAAAGACAGCCGGTCCGCGGAGACCGCCAGCCAGGGAATTCCGCTATGAGCAGCCCCGGTATTCTTTGAATCGTAATTCAAGCCCGATCTTTTCAGAGACCTGCAGGAAGCAACTTTATTCCTTCGAACCAGCCGAGAACTACTCTATCTTGCTATAATTAGTGGTGGAGTTGGTCATTTTTCCCGATTCTCCGTCGTCCCGCAACACTCGGAGACCTACAGGTACCACTATTTTTCGTAGCCGATCTTCTGAAGGCGCTTTACCGAATTCTTCTTCTCGTTTTCACAATTCTTCTTCACGTCGTGATCGAGATCACGAACTTTCGGAAGCTCACGAGCAACATTCGAGCTTTGTCTGTCTCCTTGCGCGAGAAGCAATCGGCGTTGGAACAGTCAGACGCCAGGGTCACAGCCCTGGTTAAGCGTAATGAGCAACTGGCTAGTTCTACTTTTGGCAATCATACTTCTCTTGCTCCTTCTTCTTCTTTAACTCGAGCTTCTGTGAAGTCGTTATTGCCTATTTGCATGCTCTTATGCTGCGGCTGGTGCGAAGCCCTTCCTGCCACCGCGTGGCTCTGTCCACAAGACTCAGCTGACGCGCTGGCACGTATCCCCACATCCTATAATTGCTCGCGCATTATTCCGCGTATCGAAGGAGACCCTCGAGCACTGTCTATCCATGTTTACCGCCCCAATACTCAGCGATATGACACTTTGGCTTTCTTATGCAAGAAAGTTACTCAGCGGTATCTTACTCCGTCAATTTCTTTGGAGAAATGAATGAAAACCGCAAGGAATCGCACTCCATCGTCACCTTAGAGGCCTGTAAGCTCATGATACAGCATCATAGGTTCGGGTGCGAGTAAGAGTTCGGTGATCTGAGCCAGCCCGACCATTTCTGCTCAGCAGCTAATTCTCTAATCGATTGGCCTTCGGCCCCCTTTGGCTGTTGCACCGAACACAGCGCATCAGTGTCCAATTGTTTTCTAATTCGGACTGTCGTTCACATGCGACATGGCGCTGCTTTCCCGGATTCTCCAGTCGGAAACCTAGCCGAAGTGCGCTTACGAATCGGGCAGCTGTGTTCTCAAGGATGGATCGATACTTCTGTGGACCCCTAATAAAGAGGAGTCTTGCCGATTTACGCCTGTCATGAAAATGAAAGGTCGCCAGCTCGGCGAGATCTGGATTAGCGATTCTAAGGAGTTTGCACTCTCGTGGCGTGATTCGAGTGATCGTATCCAGGATTGCGGCGCACAGCTAATTCTTTCTGACCAGGGTTATGCGGTTGCGCCGGTCACCCGGCTTCCACGATCAGCCAGCGCTGACGCCGGTATAATTACTTCCAACCAGCTCTCAGCGCAGCTCCTCGCACTAGAAGGCTCCGTTGCGTCTGGCGTGTCGGCACTCTTTCATCACGCTCTGTCCGCTCTCTGTGACAGAACGAATTTACTGGCGTTCGCTCTTCACACCTTCGTTAGCCACTAACCCTTACCGTCACCATCCGTAATCTGCTCGCTCGTAAGGACATTGCTGCCACCTTTTTCGGTAATGATCTTGTCCTGCTGCACTGTTGTATGCCAATACCACCTAGTAATTTCCAGCTATTACCCTTTCAATGGCAGCTGCTTCTCCAAGCCGTTTGTCAGGATTTCACCCCCTACCGGCCTCTACTGTTCTCTCGTTTCTGGACCCCACCACGTTAATTGTCTCCGACCAGGCCCCTCCCGCACAATGCTCCGAAGTACGCCACTTCTACTTCCTGTACGAATCTACCTATATGAGGTTCGACGCTCTTACAGGCGAGACGCAAGACCGTACCCTATTCTAGCATTCGTCATATAGGCATTACCACCAGCATTAATGCTTCCGCTCTCGCTCTCCCACTCACCTATCTTCCACAATCTAATTCTCACCAACCTCAGCGAACTCGTTCAGGATCACCAGTGGCAAGAGTTATGGTCCGCCGTGTCATCAGATTATTTCTCTCGCATTGGCGTATCTAGTAGCCTTGGCATCAGATACTGGCTCTCTTTCTAGCTCTTCTGCTTCGTTGTCACTTTGGTCGTTCATCTTCGGGTCTTGGTCGTTTTGCGATCTTTGGGTTACGGTATGCTCCATTGCGGTGTCGGTCCGCTTCATCAAAACTCTTCTTGTTCTTTATTGTAATTTGTATTACCCAGGCTGTTTGCCCCGTTTTCGAGAACAGTTCAATATTCAAAGCGGGCCTATTTCCTTTCACAGCTGCTACTATCTCGCGAAAGCAGCCAGCTCCGTTACCGGTTACTGTAGCAGAGCCGACTGTCAGCACTGTGGAATTAGCCCGTGTCAAAATCGATGCAATTTCTTCCGTGGCCTCCTGAAGCGATAATGGCCCCAGTCAATGTTCTATACCCACATCTATCCTACATGAACAAGATCGATTTTTCGTGGCACAAATTCCCATACGCTTTAATAACATCAGCGTCTCAGCGTTGGTCAATACCGGTGCATCCATCACCATTTCTGAAGTAGATACCGCGCCTCTCTTTGGCGCGTTCAACCTCGTCTCCGGTGATGTAACTAGGCCGTAGGCATGGCAGGGGTACCCGTCCATTTGTTAGGTTACGCTACCCTATCTTTTGAAATAGGTACTTTGTCCTTCCAACATCCCGTTTATTTCACCAAGTCGGCTTGTATCCCCGACACGGTTGAGACCTATAACATCATTCTCGGCAACGATTTATTGCGCAAACTCCCGCCCTGGACTATCGATTACAGCAATCGTACCTTTTCGATGGCAGGACAACAGGTACGGATCTTGTGCTCGTCACCCAGCGTGGACGACTGAGTGCCAGAGCAGACAGTCGCGTTCGCGTGGCTCAGACTACAGTACTCCCGCCTTGAGCGGAGACCTTTATTCAGTGCTACACGGACGCCAGCAATCCCTCCGATTTGATGCTAGTTTCCTCAGAATACCAAGCTGGCAGAAAAATTTGTTATGGTGACACCTGTGGTAGTCAATTCTCATCGCATGCTAATCCTTCTCCGAGAGCTGAGACACTGTACAAAGGCCAGCTCGTTTCCTCTGCCTGTGCCGCTCTGCTATGGTGAATCCACGTCCCTTCCTCTATCTCTTTCTGAAACTCCATTCGTAGGGAACTTGCTCACTACGGCCGGCAGCCCCGAAGCCAAAACTAAATCGCCTTCCAGCCAGATAAATCTCTCACACGCTGATATCAACGACAAGAACGTGAGCAGTGCCCAACTCCTGTATGAGTTCCGCGATCGAATTTCTACTGGGTCCTACGATCTTGGTTCTTATGAGGACTCTGAAATCGTCATCAAAACCACCACGGATACTCCACCACGTATTCCTGTCAAATTTCAGAAGGAACTGGACGATCATATTAATAAATTGCTCAGCGCGGGCGCATTGTTGAAAGCGACACCCCATGGGTCCATAACACTGTTTTGGTAAAGAAAAGGGACGGTTCCCTGCGCGTTTGTCTGGATTTTCGGCCTCTCAATGACGTCACGATTCCAGATCATTACCGGCTGCCGCGCGAGGACATTCTTGCCAGAATATCGGGCCACCAATTTTATACAACCCTCGATTTAGCATCAGGGTACATGCAACTCTTGCTGTCTCCGGAGAGCCAAGAGAAGTGTGGTTGGGCTACCCATCGAGGCGTTTACCAGTTTGTTTACCTCCCTTTCGGATTAAAAAACGCTGGCGACTATTTTTCTTGAGCTATGGCACGGATCCTATCAGGATTAGAAGCTAACTAGCCTGCCTGCACGATATTGTTGTTTTCGACAGGGACTTCCCTAGTCACCTAGAATCGCTTCGCAAAGTCTTCTACAGATTCCGCCTCTATAACATCAAGGCATCCGGCAAGAAGCTCACAGAAATAGCACGCTCTCATATAAATTTTTTAGGCCATGAGATTTCCGGAAGCTCCTACCCTCATGCTGATCGCAATATCCGAGCCATTCAGGATTTTCCGACACCTACCAAAGCGGTAAAATGATTCATCCGTATGGCTAACTTTTTTCGTAAATTCATAGCGAGTTTTGCCCCGATCGCTTCACCGCTCTATGCGCTTCTCAAAAGGCAAAGTTCGTCTAGGGCTCTGAACAGGAAGAGGCTTCCTAGCGTTTAAAACTCTTGGTATCAAAACCTTGCCTGGCATTTCCTCAAAAATTTTTGTGCGTGTAGGAATTTTTCCTAAACATTGACGGTAGTCAGTATGCGGTAGGTGCCGCTCTCTTCCCAGAACAGTTCGGACGTGGACAAGCAGCTGGTGGCAGTCGACTATTTTAGTATGGCACTGTCTGAATCGCAGCAGAAATGGAGTCATTGAGTT